TGAGGGTGAAGAGAGGGAGGAACGTGGTGGATTAATTGCATCATAGTTGTATTGGGGGGGAAAAAAGTAGCATTAACAACTAAAACGAATAACAGGGACATTAGCTAGTGCAGAGAAAAGATAAATGCAATAAATTAAAAAGCGATTTATGCCGACAATTCAATGAAATAACTGAAAGTTTAGATGATTATGTAAGAAATGTTTTTTTTTGAAACGACTGTCTGTTACCTGTTCTTAAAAGTCAATAAATCTAGACGTTAAATTTTCTTTGATAAATGTATTAATCTTCTTGTCTGTTTCTTGATTACCATCTGTATGTAAGATGTATATAATTGCACAATAAAGTGTATAATTTAGGCAGTAAAAATGTCGACAAAAGTTTCACTGTGTTAATATTTGGACTCTTGTTTAGATACCTCCATGGTGCTGGTAATTTATTCATACAAACTATTTCCTTAATTTCAATTACTGGTTTGTTGACAACTACTTGCAATAAATTCTGTTCAGGTACCAGGAAAGATTCCTCTGTAGAACGTGGTTATTTAGATAGGATTAATAAACTTCGGAATAAAGGTTTTTTTATTAACAAACTACAATATCCTTACGGCATCCCCTTTGATAGGAACGAAATAATAAATACCCTTTCATAAAGTTATTCGATTTTGACTGAAAATCCCTAAGGTTCACATTTTGAGTGGATTTTGACACTGGTAATTGGAAATTTATTTGGATAACAATATGTAGGCTGGTATTGAAACGTTAGTGTATCATAAATCAAACAAAAAGATAGAAGGGGTCAAAACTGTGGTATTGAATCCTAGAATTCAGTGAACACGAAAACCTACACCTATGTTTCTTTCATAATAATGCTCATCAGTTAGTTGTATGGATAAACGTCAAAAAACCAGCATTCCATTGGTTATTCAAACCCATGCCAATCAACGGTGATGACTTACATACACAAGTTGGTCACCATGGACTAACTGATGTAGCTGTCCTATGTTTAATACCAGTCAATTGTTCAGAGGTCTCTGTTAATTTACTCTTAAAATCTAACACTGAAACACAATATGTCGCTGCAGCACAACACTTAGCTTAGGAGCTATTTTACGAACTTGATCGACAGACTTCGATAAGCGATGAGCTTTAAAGTATTTATGGGTTGATGGGTTATCCTATGAGATATGGGAATAGACGTTTTGTGTAGAATCAAAACTAAGAGCACAAACACAGCCTCAGTTGACTGATCATTTCACCTTTCATCTTCAAAAATGAAGTTTGTATATACAGAAATTCACATATACCGAATTTATTCAACTAATTGGTCAGTGGTATGTAAGTAAATTTCACCTATCAATGACCTAAGCAATTTAGTCCGCTTACAGGGACCACTTCATATTCAATAACTGATTGACAAAACATCTGATTCTAGAGATAAGTAACCTAGATTACTGATATGGTGAAAAGTGTAGTAAAAACTGCCCTGTAATTATTTAAGCCTGTTGTAGAACTACACTCCAGTGACCAAATGTAACTTGCTCCAAGAGGAATTTAATAAAGTTCTCATAATGATCATAAAATCTTGGAACCAACTAAATAAGAAGTGGGGAGGTTGCCCAATGACGATATTGGACGAAGTTCACGTCATTTTTTGAATTCACAGAAGTCAACAATAATGAGGTCTTGTGTTCTGAAATCTATCCATCTTGTGGTCCGAGATACTCACTTCTGAAGAGTCTCTGATTGGAGAAAATAGCTGTCAGTAGCTCTTATATTTACAACGGTTCTCTAACTAGTGTCAGACTGTGATGAATAACACCTTCAAAAAACTTATTCATTGATATTACTTTAGAAATAAACTGACTGAATTGTGCTAGTACAATTCATTGTTGCACAGATGCTTTGTTAACGCTATGCATCTTATAATGAGTTCATTGATATGGTGACGGTCAACTCATGTCTCACCTTATTTGGCACTTGCTAGCTACCATAGATCAATATAGGATAACATCAGCTTTCACACATACATTCGGGACAGTAACCTGAACAACACAGAATAGATTATTATTGGATGATATACACCACTCACAATTTAGCAACCAAATGTAATAGTTGGCACTGAGTTCAAAATTCAAAGCACATACCTATTCTGGGGGGTTGGCTTAAACAACTAGTAACAAATAAATGATAGACAGCACTAGATTGAAAGCAGCAAATACTCAGTTTCAACGAAATGCTTTTTATTTCGGTTCTTGAAAAGTACTCACCACTTAGAAAAATGTATTGAAAAATCAGATCGCTTAAGTCGCAATTTCATTTGCAGAGATAGCGTTAAAGAATGTGGCCGAAAGATTTCTAATGATCCAATCCAATCCATAGCGATGAGAACAAAATTGCCTTGTTCGGGACATTTTAAATTTGAATAATTTAAACGAATTATTAAAAAATTAAAAAATGGCTCTACAAGAGGTTAGCTTTATATGGTTCAGAGTTTCGACACAATACAAAAATGACTGTCAAAAAACTGCAGACATATCATCAAAAGCTGCCGCCTAAACTCATTCGATACTGATGATCAGATGGCCAGAAAGAATAAGCGACAAAGAGCTATGGCCTGGCAACGAATCAACCAAGAATCCATCGCCAAACAAATATACAGAAGAATGTGGAGATGGATTGAATTGGGAACATACTGAGAAGACGGTCTAGGGACATCACGCGTCAGACCAGGCCGTCGAGAGGAAGCCGAATAGGAAACGATGAATTGAGTATCCGAGTTGACTGTGACATGGAGGAAATCGTGTGAGGAAGAAGTGAAGGCCTAGGGGTAGTCGTGAAGCCAGGTTACAAGACCGCGGAGAATAAAGTGAAGTGGAGACGTGCTACTGGAGTCTTATGTTCCACTAGCAACACAAACGACCAATTATTATAATAATCACAACACGAGGTTAGGCTTAAGCAAGAGAGGTGAACTAAGTAAAAATTTGATTCTCTTAAGGTAACCAAATGCCTCATCGTCTAATCAGTCATGAAGGAATTTTGAACTGCTCGTCAAATGATTAAACAACAGAGAACACTCAGACATTTTTCGATTGATAGGTGGCTTGTCCATGATTCTTATGTCTGTGGTATTTCCAGTCATCATTCAAATGCTTGATCGACTGTGCACATTCAACGCGATATCCCATGATTCGGGTATTTACGAGATGCATGAGCTTAGTTGCACGATAATGAACCTCTTCATGGTTCCCACTGATAAGTAGATATCAACATGAGAACCAAACCAACGAAATTTCATCCACTGCTAGGATTTTGTGATGAAGAAACCCATCTGGTGTGTTTAATAGCAGAGGTGGTGGGAAGTACTCGGACCTTCATGGGTACCTAGCTCGTGTGGTGAGGAGGAGTTGTACGACCATATGCTGTTTGATATATCATGGGTGACGAGATGGTGTTCGTCTCACAAAGCATATGAGATGTGGTGAAATGTGAAGGTAAAGTGTCGTGTGTGTGTCGGAAGTAGAAGGATTGAGTTGGTTGACGTACGTGCATACATGTTTGGTATATGTTGCAGGTGAATGATGAGGTCGACCGTGATGAGTGCTCTGGCGGTTGATATTCAGCCTTCGTAGTGATGAAGCTTGTATCATCCATCGTTGGTGACTGTTGAACTTGGTCAATTATCTTCTGGCGAGGCAGACAGGCAGGTAGGCAGTAAGAGCTGAAATGCCTATTCGCTGTAGTTTCACAACTGTATGTTGGTGGTTAGTTGTGGTTGAGTGTTGAGCGTGTGATACGGTCGGTGTCAGTAGGGTAACTCAGACCTGACACTGAGTGTCGTTTCACAGTTGAGGAGGTATGAGTAGATACTTGGAAGTTTGGTCATTCTTCTATTATTAGGTGAGCATGGTCTGTTGTGTATACCATTTTCATGCACATGCACCTAATTAAAGCCTTCGTATGAACATACGGTCGACCTGGGAAACTGGGGAAGATCTAAAATCGAAAATCACCAATTACTATTCCAAACTGACGAGTGACATGCTGAAAGATGGAATTTTCTAAGTTCTATAGGGAAGATATGACTTGTGAGGTTAATCATGTTGGGGGTGAGACGGTAACGTTCTGATGACACTGGATGACATTCTCACTATTTAGTGACTTGACAATGTTAAAATCAGTACAGGACTGGGTTGAAACCCTACTAGCTGAATACTAATATGCCTAGCATGAAACTTGACCGTCACGACGTTGTCCTCTATAACTTTAACATTAGATGATCTGAGTTCGAATCTTACAGAGGACTTTAATTCACTTTAGTTTGCAGATACACCCTGTTGACAAGTGCCAACAAGCACGAAAACTGGATCGATAGCTTCTTGTTCATCTAAAATTGAGTAAAGTATGCATTACTACGTTTAATCTGACTTTGAAAAAAGGAATGAATTTAAAGGTGATAAATGATAAAACCGACAGCCTTTCTTTGGTAATAATTAAGTTTCACCGAGTAGATGAATTCATTTCACTGTGCTGCACTGTACCTACAGATTCCATTGTCTTGTTGATTTATAAAAAATATTTTAGAAAGATATAAAATTTATAAGTATCTTCTGAAAAGAAATGTTTTCCACTAGGCTAAAATTACCTCACTATTTCCTTGGTTCATTACAGATAATTTTGAATTCAAGAAGAATTCAGCCTACACAAAGTTATGTGAACTGAAGTACCATAGTTAATAGAATAGCAAAAAATGAATTCAGGAAACTTTAAGTTCCCAAGTCATTTTTCCTGTTATTTATTCTTTATTAAGAGGTAATCACCTTGAAATTATGCATCTGTTCTTTCTTACTATAAGTCTTCCCAAGAAGTTGTCATTTTGAAAGTCAAAACAACAAACAAGAATCAATGAAAACTTTAGTAAAGGTCCCTATATTCATGTGGAACGTGAAAAACAACATTAGGAAAGGAAAAAACAAGTATTTTTCTATAAGATAACTCACTTTAAATAAGGAATGGATCGTTCATGTACAACGGAGAATTCTATTGCGTCAAATAATTGAGTCACTACACCTCCACTTCTTAATATCTTCTCACCCATATGACGTAACAATTTTAGATTCATAAATTGTTGTCTCTTACTGACAAATTTATACGATGATGTCCTTGCTGATGTCAATGATAAGGACGTTGGCGAAGCAGGTACAGAATAGGATAATGAAACTGGTAGGAAAATTATCATTATTATTACGCACAAGTATAAAAATAAACTAGGAGTATATGTAGTTTTGTAAAACCGATAAAATTTTGGTTGCATAAATTTGGCATTTAATAAGTAGCATATCTTAGACAAGATGTTTATTTCTTTTGCTTTCACTGGTGTTATGTTGGATTGTCTTTGCTCCGACAATGATGGTAATGATTTGATCGTTTGAGAAAAATGCCTAAACTTTTCTGTATACTTTTGGTGAACTGTAAAGTGTTTAATTGTCTTCAATTGTTTGCAATTCAGCTTAACGCTAGAATACTTTTTACACATCTGTTGTAAAATATTTCGATAGTTGAGTCCAGTAAATTTCTTATCATTTTATAGTATTGTTTTAAATGAATAGTATTACATATATATGACATAGTAATAAGATGATTTAATCTAGAAAAATTGTAGAATTTTTCAATTAATTTCATAAATAATTGCCTGGACATTTCCTTTTTAAATTTTCTTCAACACGTTACTTATTCTTTTCGGAGTGTTAAACACTTTTATTTTTGAAAATGACGCACAAAATAAATGTATGTTCAATGTCACATTTGTGATTAGCAAGTACTTAATTTAAACAAAATTGAACAACACACTAAAAGTGAATCAAGAATTATTAGTAGGATGCATCATGGGTCATTTTGCATCCTCTAGACAAATAATCACAGCAGACAACAATAGCTACAACACCCAAAATCTGTATGAATAAATTAAATTGGATTTTTAGTCAATTGAACATGTAATTACAATTGATAATGACCGATTCCCAATAAATATTACTGTTATTATTATTACGATTAGTGAATTATTAATTTCTCCGTATAGGTCACTTGAATGAGTATTCATACATTTCGACAGAAGACGATGATGAGGTTAGTTAGTTGTCTTCATTTCTGTTAAAGTGTAAATGTGCGTGTATGTGTGAAAGAGACAATGCTAGAGGAAACTAATCTCCATACCATGACGTTATATTTATACATACATTACATGTGTTCATATGTCTATGTCTCTCTCTGTTACACTCTATTTGTCCGAATCATAAACTAGTCGAGTCTGTCCGTATGTAACTTGATTTTGATTGTTGTTTTTTTATCCTTTCTATTTGCCTGCTTATTTGTATTCTGGATCTAATGTTAGGCAGGTAGACTATGTTGTACAGTTGTTCATCTGCTTACATGCTTGCACAGACACACGTACTTATTATGTACACAGGTTACACAGGTTACCTTGGTGGATGAACCTGTGCAGATTAGATATTTCTGCTATAGTGTTTAAAGGTGTTAGCACTTACTTAAAAAGGATTTCTCTTTAATTCATTGTTACTAAACTTGATTTTCTTACAGGAAATAGTATCTTCAAGAAAACTATAACAAAACTTTTACTACAAGGCAAGTTAATTCCTAAACGAACACAAAACGAAAGTTTACAGACTGGTGTCTGTAGGAAACCTTCACATTTAAATCGCTACTTAGGCTTCAAATCCTCCTATCCCATCTCAGATAAAGTAAGCGTAGTTAAACGCCTGAGTGATAGGGCGGAAAAGCTTATTACTAAGCCAAAAAACCTACGACAAGAAATTAGACACATCAAGAATACCTTGCGTCTCAGTGATTGCCTACCTAAACTTATAAATAAATTCATAAGAAGTCAGAAGAAAAATACCAGCAGTATGAGCAGCAAAACAGGTGTATTACCAATAATTCTACTGCCAATAGTAATAATAGTGACGCTGTTGAGAGGGACTTCAAAGCTACCTCTAAGTTACAATACAAGGAAGGCACCTCAGAAGCATTACGAGGGATTCTTAGTAAGTCTGGCTAGGATTAAAGTCAACCTCGCCTAGTTAAATAGTGCACTAGTTACTAGCCAGTTCTAAGTCTGAAAAACAGGGACAGGTGAGCATACAGCTAGCAACACTACCACGGAAAACCAATCCATTTGCTACAGAAACTTCAAACCACAAAGAAATTTTAAAAAATAGAAACAAACTTATTCCTCAATGGAATCAGAAAGAAGAAATGACACCGGTTGGTGAAAGACTTCGGGAAGCCAACTGGCCAATGTGTCTCCTTTCTCTCGATGAAAGCAAAAGTAGACGTGGAGACATGGAATGTCCGCACCATATATGAACCTACCAAGGCTGTCCAGATTGCAAAAGAGATGAGGAGATATGGCATGGAAGTGCTTGGAGTCTCTGAGGAGTCTGCAAATGGAATGGAAGTGGACTCTCCAAACTGTCAACTGCACAGGAGTCAATAATCTACTCCGATATTGTCACCCAGACGACAACCACGAGCACACTGAGTTCCCGAGTGGCTATCACGATGTCCACCTCCCAACAGCATCGAAGGCTCACTCTCATGTAGTGGGAACCAATCTTCTCCTCGACAATCAGGATCACGTTCATGACAGCCAGAGGGGTCAACTCAAAAGTAAGGAAAGTCACAATCATACTATGCTACACCACTACACTATAATCACCTACAAATAATGCAGATCAAGAGAAGAAGAAGGAATTCTACAGACAACTGCAATCGGTACCAAACAAGACACCACCCCAGTTGGCGACATCAAGATCCATCCTTATGCTTGCAGTGACATGAATGCCAGACTGGGAGCAGACAACACAGGAAGAGAAGTAATCATGAGTGGAGAAGTAGTCGTGAAATGATGAGTGAGGATTGAGAAGTGTTTGGAGACTTCTGCACATTTATTGATTTTGTGATTGGAGGCAGTGTGTACAAACACAAGGATATTCACAAAGCGACCTGCATTTCACCGTATGGATACACTACACTAAAAATCAGATCAACTTCATCTCAATGTGAGGAAAGTGGAGAAGCAGTCAGCGTGCCGGACACAAGACCAGATGACGAAGAGGAACGGATGTAGTTTCAGACCACCTGACTATCATCCAGTGCAAGGGACGTTCCAAATCAAGTTGAAAGCCTTCAAATGAAAAAAAAGAAACTGATGATAGACCAAAGTTGAACATCCAGAACCTAAACCGAACTGAAGGATGAAACTATGAAGGACATCTTCGCATGGTCAGCTATCAGAACAAAATGGGAGACATTAAGTAACATCACGGAGGAAACCTTTGTGGAAGAACACTGGAACTCTGTGAAAGCTGTGTGGGATGGATACTGCATACGAGTGCTTGGAAAGAGGAAGAGGCAAGACAAGGAATGGATCTCCACGGAAACATGGAAGCTGATACAGGAGGGAACAGGAAGATGGTGAAGCGGAAGATGAACCAGTGCAGTGTAGGGATGAACAATGAAGAGAGGAAGAAAACACAAACTATAAAACATAACACTAGACAAAGAAGTGAAGAGAAGTGCGCGCAAAGACAAAAGACACTTCTACGACACACTGGCAAGTGAAGCATAACAGGCTGCAGGTAGGTGAGATAGAGACCTGACCACATTATTTCAAATGACCAGGTTACTATCTATCTTGGTAGAGATCAACACAGATGGAACAAATGAAAGATAGTGAAGGAAACTTAGTTACCAAGGAGAAGAAACAAAGTAAACGATGGGCTGACCACTTCAAAAAAATCTCTTGAATTGACAACCACCACCAACACCTGCAACCCGTCCGGAAATACAACCAGCAGCCACATTTCTGTCAGTGAACACAAACCCTCCAGCAAAAGCAGAAGAGAAGGTCTGAACGCCATAAAGTTGCTAAAAACCGGCAAACAAGCAGTACCAGATGGAATTCCGCCAGAAACACTGAAAACAGATGCAGAGACAACAGTGGATATGCTCACACCACACCACTACTCCAGAAGGTTTGGAAGGGAGGAAGGAAAGAAAGATACCTGCCGACTGATTGGAAGAGGGGCTACCTTGTCGAACGTCCAAAGAAGGGAGGACTAAGTCTTTGCAAGAACTGGCGAGGAATCATGCTACTATCCACCTAAAGCAAAATATTATGCCACATCATCCTAGAGAGAATTAAAATGCTCTGTATTCAAAAATAAGACTGGAACAGGCTAGCTGGCTTCAGAAAAAACAGATCACGTGAGCATCAAATTGCAACCCTACGCATCATCGTAGAACAGAGCATAGAATGGCAGTCAACTCAACCTCATCTTCATCGATTTTGAACGCCCCTCCTTCGATAGCATCAAAGGAGAAGTAATTTAGCAGGCAGCTACTTCAACACTACGCTTTGACTACCACCAACCTTTATCAACCTCATTCAACACCACCTATGTGCTACATTATGCTACATGCCAAGTGATTCACAATGGAAAGCTCAGCCATCCCTTTGAAGTGAAGACGTGAGTAAGACAAGGTTGCCACCTACTATCACCGATCATCTGCATGATTGTCACCGACTCCACTCCACTCCACTCGACTCGACTAGATCATGCAACAGACAACTGTGAGGAACTGTGAGAAGATGGGCACACACTGGCTGGACTGATATAAAGACCACAGAAGAAGATCTGAATTTCGCACATCATCATGATTTGTGTCTTATATCTTGTCACACAAACTCGAAGATCTACAGGCGAAAACTAACAAGTTGACAGAAGAGGTGAGGCAGGACAGCGGAAACGAGAATTCCTTCAGGTGAATACAGAGGAGGCAGTGGTGATAAAGATATCCAACTAACCATCACCACCACCACCAACAACAACAAGAAACACCAATCACCATCAACAGGAGAAATCTAAAAGAAGTCGTTTCTTTCACCTACCCACCTACCTACCAAACTCAATTGGCAGCACGGTCTCAACTACAGGGGCACACGCACACGCACACACACAGATGAGGATGTCAAAGCCAGCCAGCATCGGAAAGATAGCAACGCAGACCTTCCTATAATAATCTGAAATCAGTGTGGACATCTACTGCACTGCACTGCACTGCACTACACTACACTGAACTTCACACTACACCGCACCGCACCGCACTCAACATAAAGCACGAACAACATCTGGATTCTCAACACTAAGTCAGTCAAGTCTGAGCTTCTACGTGATGGTTGAGAGAATTGGCGGAGCGTTAAAAAAGCATTTCCAACAAACTACACACATACATCATCAACACCTGACGCCTACCCACACTCGATACTAACACTGAAGATCAGATGGATGGTCAGAATATTAAGAACAAGCAACAAGCAACTCTGGCTGGCTGCCAACGAACCAACCAACAAAGAACCCATCACCCAACAAATATGCAGAAGAAAGTGGAGATGGATTGGGCATACACTGAGACCATTCGGGAATATCACAGGTCAGGCCATGCCCTCGAGTGAAAGCCAAAGGGGAAACTACGAGTTGGGCATCCGAGGTGAGGGTGATATGGAGGAGATCATGTGACGAAGAAGTGAAAGCTTGTGGGAAGTCATGGAGAGAGGTTCAAAAGACTGCGGAGAATAAAGTGAAGTGGAGACGTGCTACTGAGGCCCTATGCTCCACTAGGAACCCAAGGGAAAAATAATAATAATAATAGGATCTAATTGGCATTTAAAACAACAAACTCGCTAAGAAACAAGATTTGTAGATTAAAAGATCCTGTCGATGCAATTAAACATAATAATCTGGTTTACCAAATCCCTTTCAATGATTGTGAGATCAAACACATAGGTCGAAGTAGTCGACCAGGGTCGATTAGAATAACAGAACACAACACTTAGCTAAATCAAAATTAGTAGGTCCGAATAAGATAAGAAATTTATAGAAAAGCTCGACTGTAGCTGTCCACGCAATTACACATAATCACACAGTGGGGTGAGATAGAGTGACAGCGTTAACAACGAATTAATTGGGTGGAGGGAGAGATTGATAACCCAATCTTTGTTTATCGAATCAACACCAAATACAAGCAATCGAAATGATTCTGCACTGTCCCAGATATAGGGAAAATTCTACTGCCGTTGTCATCACAGAGAAGGAGAGAAAATTAGGACATATAAACTCTCCG